TTCAAAGATAACGCTTGTGTATTATATAATTGTAATCTACAACTTAACAAATGAATGACTTGAGTGGGGGCATAGGCCCCCAGTGAGCCTTCATTAGCCCTGTCCATGCCTTGGAGAAAACTCTAGACGAGTGGGATGATTCAGTTTATATAGAACTCAAGCCACCCTTTTTGAAACATTGTGATTGTTGCCTAAAGTTTCAACGAACAAATACAACTCATGAATTTGAATTCAACTATAACACTTGACTCTTATTTTTTTATTCACACAAAAATTAAATATTATAATATATAATTACCAACAATCCCCCATATGAATGAAAAATTAGGAAGAATTTGAGAGTACAGGTGGACAAGAGATGCATCAGGAAGATGTGTCTTTTGGACGAACCTACTCTAGTGGATAGTTATTGGATTTACTTGGTGACGCAGTACAGATCTTTAAATTTTCACCGCAGAAGTAAACTGAGACAATAAGCAACACAAATCTTTTACCCTAATATATTACGGTTCATATGGTTGTGTTCATTTTGATCCTGAACAAATCTTAAATTCATGAGAGCTTTAGAGAATTTAGTCATCTCATTCTCATAGAAGCGACCCACTTCTACTCTCACATAGGTGACCATTGATTAAGAATAGTCTACTCTATTCCTCTTATTTATAAGATATCATTGTCATTAAGTATAAATACACACCCTAAAACTTCTGCATACAACACACTTCGGCCATCATAGGAACGAGGTATATAGTGTGTTAACTTCTTTGAATCATGCCCAACTAGTTTGCCTATTGAACTTAGACTATAGTATCTCCAATCAACTAAGTTAGGGTTCTGTCCGGCTAATTCATTAGTTATGTTGGCTTTAGCCTCTTTCCCTTCTATGATCAACTTACTCTCTAGTCAATCCTTTAATAACTGGTACCACTTAGGTTGACTATCTTTAGTGGTGTACACAATCCATCTTATGAAATTATATTTCATACGAAGTAGATTTACAATGTCAAGTCCTCAACTGCACATGTTGGGACTTTAGTAAGTAATTTGCTAATATTTGGGCATACTCCCCCACTTAAGGTATTTGTAGGAAGGTCTCAAACTCTTCGTACCTTAAAGTTACTCATTATAAGAGATAATTGTTATTATATTATCTCTCTTTTAAGAAGCAAATTACTCTTATTTGGACATCGTGTTTAGCCCTTACTAGGCTAAATTATCACAAAGTACATCTTCTCTAGCCTTTTCTAAGATTATCTTCAATTCCAGTATAGATTATGCATTTGCACATCCATATGTACTTTGACTTCAAATTATCAAAATTCAATTAGCCAGCATCATTGAATTCATAACATGTTCATTAATATTCTTGCTTAATAAGCATTATCATGTCTATATTAATTGTGTATGCTTACTCAATAAGCATCAATTTCAGCGTTTCGTCATTCTCTTTACGAAATACTCCCATACTTTTTGTCCATTCATCGTTTTCTACGACAATGATAACTCATCTTAAAATGAGTTCAAAGATTTATAATTTGACTAGGAACAACAAATTTTATTTCACGCTTCCAAGTCCAAATTATTAATCCCTTGGGCTTCTTATCATGACTGGTAGAAAAACGCTGTTTTTAGTTATGCAACTCTTATTATAAGTGCTCACCATTCTATGAATATGCTTAACTAAACTGAGTTTACAAAAAAAACTAAAAAACCTCAACGTTATATAAGGTTTCTTTTCCTTCATATCGCATAATTATTAAGAAACAAAGACTGATTTCAAGTTTCTCTTGCACTATGGCTTTGAAGCCTTCACATACCAGCCAATTTCATTTCAATGACAATGAAATCAATGGTTCTCTTTGTCACAACCAAAGTTCTTAGTCACATACGGACATAAGGGGGTTATCTTCTCTTTCATGACGAAAGAACTTATCGCATTGTGGATTAAATGCATCAATTCAGACTTATTCTTTCTGAAAAAGAATCTGAGTTCACGAACTAGTATCACAGTAACCGTTCTAAATTTGCAGATAAAGCAAATTCTTGAATCAAGCCATTTCACTTGACCTTAACCAACACCTCTTTTCAGTATAAGCGTAAATTGAACATACTTCAGCATGGGGCCTATCCTGGCCTCGTTGATTTCAAATGATGCAGCGATTTGCAAACCCATCAAGAACTGTTGTGTTGTTTCTAAATTCCTCCATCAGTACAAATGTCTCGCATATTTTATAAATGCAGATTGTAAAATAATTTAAGGACTTGTGAAATCTTACCACAAATTATTATCCACATTCTAATAACAATGTCTCATTTTTCCAGAGAAAGGAATTGGAAACACCGACAATCAGTTATTTAAACTAAACTGCATATATGTATAAAGGATCGACATGTGTTTCACAGAAACATGCATGATCCTAGAATCAAACTTCAGTGATCCAGATTAATGCATAAACTATAACCTTATAATGCCAAGGTATATAAGAAAGTGCATGATCCTCGTGGCATGTGTTTATGCATGCCAAGTCAATTAACAGTTAATAGACAATTCTACACATACCTCTTACGATGTGAAGGGTCAAATTTTCAAAGACCCCAAAAAAGATGTTGAAAACCCTCTTTTGTTTGAATCAAAATCATTCAAACCAAAAGGCATGAATCGAACTCCAATAATATCCATTCTCTTTTTACTATTATCTTCATCAACATCGTTAAGAAACCATTTAACTGGCACAACGGTTGGCAAGATTTTGAATTCGCAAAACCAATCATATATCACAAGAACTGATCACCATTCTCAATGTCTAATTTTTAGAGTATTGAACCAACAACAATAACGTTAAATGGCAAAAAGAAATAAATAAACAATACCATAACAAACTGCTCATGTCCTTCTTAATGAAGATCAAGAACAATACCTTCACAGCAATATGCATGTGTCTAAAAGTCTAAATTTTAAACGGCAGTTTCACTAATATATTTTCAAATCATTCTTTTCTACTTTATCAATATAATTATTTCTTAAATTCATATTTTTCTAATTATTGCATAAGAATTTTTATCTTTAGATTGTTGAAGTAATATTAGAAAATATGAAAGAAAAAAAAATAACAATATAATTTCGATGATAATAATAAAATTCACAACATCAATTATATATGAGATTGACATAAACAACTAGAGAGAAAATAAGAAAACTGACAAACTTGGAGATTGAGGCTTGTATAAATGCAATGTCCTAAATACAGAAATTCGCCCCTACTCTTGTGCTTGTAGTTCGGTAGGTGTCCGTCTCCTAGGATTCAACAATCTATAATCCGAAGTCAAAGCATCTCAATCTTCGAACTTTGATGAACGTCTATTCCGTACTCTCCAGAAACAACTCGGAATTTGACTAACAAAGAATAAAAAACTTGAAGAAAACTCTACTCTTAATTACTTAGACGAGTGGGATGGTTGAGTTTATATAGAACTCAAGCCACCCCTTTTGAAACAATTGTGATTGTTGTCTAAAGTTCTAACAAACAAATGCAATTTGAATTCAATTGTAACACTTGACTCTTATTTTTCATTGATACAAAAATTAAATATTATAATATATAATTTCCAACATTTTTATGCCAAGCGTTACTAAAAGAATTTTTTTCTATCTGAAAGTGCTTTTAGCCATTTTTAACTACTTCCAAACATTACCATATTCTATTCCATCTTGTTATAGGCTAAATAGTTGATGCAATTACATATAGTCAAAAACAGAAGATAATTGAAAAGTTGAAAATTTGCTTACCTTGAGGATAACGGCATCCGCTGGAGGGATACCCTGGAACATGTCTCCTCCAACAAACTTCAAATTTTCACCGTCTGGCGAATCAGCAACAACGTGTGGAAGTTCAAGAACTGTGCATTTCAGTCGAGGGAAAGCGTCACAGAGAATCCTAGCGACTTTTCCAGTCCCACCACCAACATCAACCAATGAACTCAACCCATCGAAGATTGGCTTGCAATCTCGAATCACCAAGTTCAACATTCCAGAATCACCAGCCATTGCCTCATTGAAAAGACTGCTGTATTCGGGGTTTCGTTCCCCGTATTCCCAAAACCCCATCCCATGAGCGCTCTTGAAAGGCGTGACCTCGCTTCCTCGAAACCAGTTTCCGAGGAACTGCCACGGTGCTGCGGAAGCTGGATCGAGCATCACCAGAACGAACGGAGACAAGCTGGGTACTTTGTCTTTCAGGAGGAGCCTGGAAGACGGTGTGAGATCATACGCCTCTTCTCCTCCTTCATCTGCTTCTCCATGATTTCTAGGAACTTGTTTTCGTGCAAAGAAGCGAAAGTGCACCATGAGGCGCATGAGCCGGTGCACATTACTGGTTTTAGCCGGGTGGATCTGAAGTGCTGTGACCAAGTCAGGTAGAGTAATGGGCTGTCCGTGGCGGTCAATTATGTCCGGTATGCCGAGCTGCACTACACACTTGAGCGACATTGAAGTTATGAAGCTGAATACATGCTTGTACAAATGGGACTGCTCCAAACAAATCTCTTGCTTCATCTCCCTCCATAACTATTCTCTAGTCACTAACTAAGCAGCCTGGTTTTTATACAACTAAAGTCATCTCCATCTGAAAGTGCTACACATGGCTATTATAGTCCTCCTAAACATAATCCTTAATAATTATTAGTTCTAAGCTTATAATTTAAATTTAGTGATTAATTCATTAAATTAATTGGATATTTTCAAATTTAGCCGTTAAAAACTAAAGGCTGCATTTGACTAGCATGATACCCCTCTAGTCAAATAATGACTTGGGGTGCTTCATAAAATTATAGACACTAACGAAGCAGCCCGGTTGAAGTAACACTCCTTTTTACACCATAATGCAAAAATAAGGAGCTAACAAAATTCAAATTCACACCATAATACAAAAATAACACTCCTTTTTGGTACTGTAATAAGAGACCACTTACAAACTAATACATAATTTTGGGTTAATTGTAAATTGCACAAATCAAAAGAACTGGAATTCATTAACATAGATGTTAACATTACAATCGTTCAGACTCGATTCTTACCTACATTTCCTACCCTGAACCAAAAAGCGACAACCCCACAAAATAACATGAACATTTCAGCAAACACCTTACCTACGAAAACCATACTCCTTTTTATCTGTACTAAAACCCCAATGGAATCTAAGCCCTCTCACCCCTGATGCGCCTAGCGAGCTGGATATCCTTGGGCATGATGGTGACCCTCTTGGCGTGGATGGCGCAAAGGTTGGTGTCCTCAAAAAGCCCGACGAGGTAGGCCTCCGCCGCCTCCTGGAGGGCCGCAACGGCGGAGCTCTGGAACCTCAGGTCGGTCTTGAAGTCCTGGGCGATCTCACGGACCAGGCGCTGGAATGGGAGCTTTCGGATGAGGAGCTCAGTGCTCTTCTGGTACTTACGAATCTCACGGAGAGCGACGGTTCCGGGCCTGAAGCGGTGGGGCTTCTTCACTCCGCCGGTGGCCGGAGCAGACTTGCGAGCCGCCTTGGTGGCCAGCTGCTTGCGGGGAGCTTTTCCTCCGGTGGACTTGCGGGCTGTTTGCTTGGTGCGAGCCATTGGTGGATTGGTTTGGAGATCGAGAGGTGACTAGGGTTTCTCAGACTTGGGGATTTTTAATTGATTTGTGAATAGCGTGCGAGAGCTCTGGCTATGGAGGGACTTTATATCGGGATATGTGAAAAATGGAAATGGGAGAGAAAGAATTGAGACCGTTGATTTAGGGTGTTATCGACGGCTGCGCCTAGTTTGATTGGTTTTTTGTTCCGGATCGCTGACGTGGAATGTGCTTTTGTTGTGCTTCGCTCCAGTTTGAAAATAATGGCGCGGATATAGAAATGACTTTGGTCGTTGATGCTTTGGTAATCGACGGACGCGGGTTGGTTTGGGAGGTGTCATACTGATTGAGGATCGCTGACGTGGCTGAATTTTGTTGTCTTTTGCTGTGGAAGTGGGCCGGGCTGCTGAGTCGATGCGTTTTGTTTACCGATCTCATCCAACAGGAAGAGGTTCTTCTTCCTAATCTCTCTCTTTTTTCTTTTTTTTTTTATTTAAACGATTATGATTTAACCATGTTAACATCTTATATTAATTTTTTTTATAGAAATAATAAAATAAAAAATAATGTGTGAGAAGAGAAGAGAGAAGAGGATGGGAATAGAAGGAGAGAGAATCCTCCTCCCATCCAACCCATGATAAATTGTAGGGGTAAACTTTCACTTTGAATTGTTTTTCTCTTTTTTTGGTACATCGATATTTTTACATTGAGAGGAGTAGGAGTTCGGCAAAACCACACAATGGGTAGCCTAATTTGGTATCGAATTCGCCATCCACGAGATTCGAACCTAGCCTCTAACTTTCAAGTGAAGATGAATATCATTAGACCATGATACTGAGTGACTTCACTTTGAATTGTTAGATCATGACGAACTTAAGACATCTTCAAGTATTATTATAACATCATTAAGATCAATAGAAAAAAATAGGTATCTAAAAGAAATACTAAAAAATTATCGTTTCAAGATCTATTTCCTAATAAAGTACCATGTATTTTGTTTTTCTCTCTCTAAACATTGATGTTTTATCACTTATTACATTTAGTTGGTGCAAATTTGGACAGAATCTCTATTACATGGCGACTGATCCGATTCAAACCTCATCATCCTCTTGGTCTCTCTTCCTCCCCCTAGTGGATTCTACCAACTATAATGGTTAGGTTGGTAGATTGCTTTAATTTGCACAACATAATGCAATTTGAGCCCAATTCATAAACAATGATACCTAGTTGCAATCAAAATTGTACCATGTAGATATGCTCAGTTTGAGCTGAAATAATGGGCAACAATTCCCACATAACCATTGTGAGACTTTTTACATTACAAGTTATTTAGTTTGATTAGTCATAAGCTGTAATAAGTTGCATCAACTCAATCTAAGTCTTTTTTTTTTTTTTTTTGTGAATTTGTATTTTATTCTTGTGAGACATTCTCAAGCGGTAAATTTGTATTGACTGTTCATGGTTGTAATTAGGAAAACACCTTATTTTCTACATGTATCATTTGGGTTATGAATGCAATTTAACTTCGTACAATTCGGTCTCTTGGGTCGAATAAACAAATAATTTTCGGTTAACGTCGCCGAATGGCAATTTTATACATTTCAGCCGTCCAATTCGATGGGAGTGAAACCAACTAGAGACAGGAGGACTAACAAAATCGCAGTTTCCACTCCAATTTCCCCCAATTTCAGCAATAAACAAACAAACCCCATTTTCCCACATGCCTTCCCTTTCCTCCGACTTTCTCCATTTCTCAGCTCTCTTCTTCTTCTTCTCCAAGAAACTCACCCGCCCTCTGAACCAGTCAACCCCGCAGCAATGATACATAACCACCCCATTTCCAACTTCATCACCACCGTCGATTGAGCATTTGCTACTGAATTCTCATCAGCTTTGTTCCGAAGCAAGAACAGTAAGCACCAAACAATTGTATTTGTAGATCGGATTGCGCAGCCATGGTGCTTCCGCTCCTGAAGCTCGGGACTCTGGCCATCAAAACTCTCAGCAAACCCGTCGCCGCCCGACTCAAACATCAAGCTGCAGTGCATCCCAGGTTCCGCCAGTTAATCGTCAGCATCGCACAGGTAAATTTTAACTACAAGATATTGTTTCAGAGGGTGAATTGGTGATTTGTATTTCGTTGTAATGTGATCCCAATACATTTTTTGACAAGTTATTCTTGCCCCCATTTGAAATTTACTTTCTTTTTAACTCGGTGATTAAAAAGTTTCAATATTTTCTTGTTGGTAATCAATCGTCGAGCTTACCCATCCGGGCTCTTTAATTTATATCGTCCCAGCTAGTGCTTGTGAATCGCATTTTAGTTTATCATGGGTTGTGTTATGTATTGTTGTAAAATTATTGTTGACAGTGGTGCTAGAGCTGAGCTACTGTTTATACTTTTGTGGAATCTTGCTTTCGGGTTTTTGTTAGGTTTATCTGCCTGTAAATTCATGTTACTGTGTGAATTTGATATTACAAACACTAAGTTCTGATGCTGGTTTGCTTGAAATCAACTTTCTTTGTATGCATTAATCTGTGAAGGGATTTAATCTCTAATGAATTGGGATTCAGGCAAACCATCGAATCACCACGAGGATGCAAAGGCGCCTATACAGTCATGCAACCGATGTTGAGATTCGCCCTTTGAATGAGGAGAAGGCTGTGCAGGCTGCTGTTGACCTTATGGGGGAGCTCTTTGTCTTCTCGGTAATATTTAGTGCAAGCTACTCGTTTTGCAGTTTCTCATAGCTGTTTCTCTTAAGTTTACGATTTATTATGATTTATCAATGGACACTGGAAGGCTCAAATGTAAATAAATATATGTAGATTTGAGCTGTATATGTAGTGATTTATCAAATTGGAAATGTGACTCACAGACCATGGTCGTCCCAATAAAACCAACTGTATATGTAGTGATTGTTCCATGATAATATTTACATTCCTAACTTTCTATATATGTGTATATATATATATATACACACACACAGGTTGCAACAGTTGCTTTGATATTTGAAGTACAAAGAAGTGCTAGATCAGAAGCAAGAAAGGAGGAAGCACGCAAGCAAGAACTGGAGGTATTGTGGCAATATAATCAATGTGTTAATTTGCATTTGTACGCCAACCTTGACTGCTATTATTTCATTGACCTCGTGAGAATATAGAATTTTTATTCAGTTACATTTTTACCGTCTTTTGAACAAATGACCTCCAATCCTTTTCAAATTGAAAATGCTAATGGAGTTGAAAGAAAATGTTAACTCTTTATTCTGGTATTGAACTATCTGAGCAACCTGCCTTCTTTGGTTTCATTTCAGTAGTGTGGATAAAATCATATTTATTTGAATACAGAAGATGTACATTTTTTTACACTTGCTGAAATACAGTCAAAACTGTATTATGCCAAGGTCAATTTTGTTGCTTCATTACAGTGGAAATGAATAAAGCAGCTTGTAACTCTCATATTAGGTTTACCTTTCGTTCGTTTGCAAATCGCTGCCCCTTTTTTCCCCGAAAAGAGTAATCAGGAGAGTCTCTCTCCCTTTCTCCCTCTCTCTATTATGCTCTCTTATGCACTCTCTGGTGAACAAGATGGTACATCTTCTAAATTTCTGATGTGGATAAAGTACTATCCGCTGACAAACTAGATACTTGTAGCTTGTCCTTCAAAAGATTAATGAAAGACACCTAGAGCATGCCGATGTTAATGAATATTACCTTACAAACCAAGGAAACTCTTTATGAAAGAGCTAGTCTAAGGTTGGGGATATCTAATATCGTGAAAATCTTGGTGGATTATCACGAATACCTAAGAGCACGTTATAACAACTTGGTTAGACTTGTATTGTGAAACAATCATATCACAGTTTGGTAAATATATATCATACTATGCAGTATGCACAACCCAGTATACTGTTTCATACTACATGCTTCTTAGAACAATACCTATCAAGTTTTACGGGGGCCTAACTGCCTGCCTGCCGTTCACTGTTTTTCAGGCACTCAAGCAAAGAGACGAAGCCTTATCAGGAGAAGTGGAACTTCTTAAGGAAAAACTTGAAGAACTGGAGACGCTTGCCAGGGGACGAGGGCTTAGCGGTATTATCAGTTTCAAGCGCCCTGATACAGAATCTGCAAAGTCAGTAAAGCCAGCCTAATCATACACAAAACTCATCTAATAAAGATGGTTTTTAACCCGATTTTAATTCGTACAATGCTTTCCTCGTTGCAGAGGGAAAATTTTCACCCTTGATTCTTTCGACCGTAGGTCATCTTTTAGATTGATGCCTGGCTTCATTGTTTTCGGAATGTCTAAACATTGTTAACAGAGAGATGCCAAGTTAATGATGCCTTGTGTGTTGTGGCATTAGTCTTCCAGACATACTTGGTTTTTTTTTAGTGCAAAGAGATTTTAATTTTGGGGTTTTGGGTTTACACCATCATTCATGAACTTTTATTTTTATCTTTTTAAAAAAATCTTTTATTTTTAATCCAGTTGGCATTCAATCACGTAATAATAGGTCTGATACGCTTCCTACATCAAGAAAGTAACGGCATAGTTAACGGAGTTCGCACGAAAGAACCAATGCTCCATATTTAATTAAATACAAAAACCAAATCTTTGGAATTTTAGTTTAGGGACTAAAGGTACAATTCGGTAATAGTTCAAAAACTATTGCTCTCGTTTCATCGAAGTGAGATTCAGTCACTATCAGCTTATCTTTCTCACTAAGATTTGGAAATACTAATTTTATTGTTCTACTTTTATCTGTGCTTTTCTTTCTCGGTAAGATTTGGAAGTGGGATTTAGTCACTCTCACCTTTTACATATTCCCTAATTCTATTGGACAGATCGTATTCTACGTCACCCTTCAACGATCATCTATGCTATCACATTGGAATTCATTCACATGTCTAACTGTTAATCAAATAAATAGACGAAACCTCTAAATTGGTACATGATCAATTAAATCTTTGAAGAAAGTTTTAACGAAAAGTCCACAGTACTGTTCATTTTAACGAAAAACAACATTTTTACACTAAAAAGTCAATCCTGGTACTGTTCACTTTACCCTTTATTTTGTCCTTATCATTAAAACTCGAAGTTTTCAAACTTTTTTCATTAGTTTTTCTATTTTAAATGGTTTATAATTTTGTCCACTTATTGCCTGATTATATGACGATAACCTCAAAAAAAAAATAATAATAATAAATTAAAATCAATCATCATTCAATTTTATATTAGATGTATCAAGCAGTGTTTCCGGCACACTACAAAATTTATCCATAAGATGCTGATTAAGTGAGTAGTAGTGATGATACATATTTAAAGCAGCACAGCCATCCCTTTTAATTCCCTTTTATCTCCACAAACAGGCATCAAATTAGGAATCTGATGGATGATATTGGTAGTAGTGGATGCTCTCTTTATCCCTTTCTTGGTCGACTTGTCTTCCCCTTCTCTCTCTCCCACCAAGAAATAGGTAGACTTCGATCTACTGTTCAACCTATAATCCCTACAACTCTTGTTTGTCTTTCGAGCATGCACGGAAGGAGCAGAGTTGAAGCCAGATCGAACTCCATTGACCTCCTAAATGCTTTGATGTAGGATTTCTGATCTTTTGTCGCGCCTTGACATCTTTCAATGGATGACTATTTATTATAATTTTAATAAAAATGCTTGTGAACATAAATATTTTATTGTAATTTTTTATTATTTCATAGATATTTAACCAGAGGAGAAATGGACTCAACACTCAACATGAAGGTATATGAAATAGATCTAAGTTTTTATATGGGGGGTCAAAAGTCCAAACCAATCTCATATGTCCTTATCCATGTAAGTTTTTATTCGCAAATTATCTTATAGATTATGTAAACTGATGAGTTTATTGCAAGTTACAACTATAAATACGTTTCTCCCAATTGCTACTAAAAGGCTGTCATCGTGTATTTTATCGCTGCACTTGAAGTCTAAAGTTTGATTCTGCCTCTCACATGTTCACTTGGATTAGAAAAAAACTGTACAACAAAATGAAAATTGAATGCCACATACTCAAATTGTCATTTGTTGACTAAGGACGATCCATCTGTTTAACTGAGTGCATTTCTTGCTCACCCCTAAAAAAAAAGGGGGGGTAGTTCTCACCTCCTCAATTAATTATCGTCAGACTAGTTTAATTTAAAGGAAAACTAATGAAAAGTTCAAAAAAACTTCATTTTTAATGAAAAGTTATTTTTAAAGGTATATTGAATAGTATCAGGCAGAAAAGATATAAATATAGTTTTTCATTAAAAATAAGCAGTACATAAATGTTTTGTTAAACCTCTCTTAATTTAAATGATCTAAAACATAAATTTTAAAATTTAAAGTAATTTAACCACAATCAATACAGAAAAAGCTTCACACGACCCACACTCACTTTAAGAAATGAGCAAAAGTATTCCCTATTTAAATTTTAACTTAAACTTTCTATGGATTTATTTTATGTATTTTAGTCTTCACAAGTCAAAAGGCAATTTTTTTTTTTTGAGAAAAATGAACAGAGAATATGTCATTAGCGACCGACCTATCCAAGATATAAAGGCACGGTTTCTTACCCAACCATGCATCCCACTCCTTCTGTTTAACCCTTTACCCGCGTCCACATTGGCCTGCTTTCACTTTCGGCAGCGCCAGCCAGACATCGAGAGAGAGAGCGAAAGCGAGCGAAAGGAGAAGTCACCACTCCTTCCTGCTACAGAGCAGAGACTACTGGAAATTGGCATCAAACACGTTGAGCGAGAGTATTGGGTAAGCATCTCCTTTTCGGGTCGAATATTTCACCTTTCTCTTTTCTTTTTTAGTTTTCTCGCTTCCACACCTCTCGCCGTCGCCACCCCAAACCCTCTCAGCCCTTTCCGATCCCAATTTTCCTTCGGTATTAAACTCCGATTAACTGCTGAATTTCACCCTGTTCCCATACCAATCGGGCACGCCTGCTTCTGACTAGTAGAGGTTCCACTCCCGTGTTTACTAGTTTTCTTTATGTTTAAGTTAATTTTACGAATTTGGTCTGAATTATGGTGAGTTTCCGTGATTGTTATTCGTAATTCAGGTTTTTTTTTTGGCTTGTTTATGTACTGATCTGAGATGGGTTGATGGTAATCTGAGATGGGTTGGTGAGTGTGTTGCTAAATTCTTGATCTTGATGAGTTTTCGATAATCTGAGATGGGTTTGTGTTTGATGTGTGAGTTGTAGGGTTTAGAAGGGGGCGGGGATTGCGATGAAGGGTTCAAAGAGCACTTGCAAGTCCGCTTCTCACAAGCTTTTCAAGGACAAAGCAAAGAACCGTGTGGATGACTTGCAGGGCATGTTCACGGACCTCCAGTTTGCCAGGAAGGAGAGCCGCTCCATCGATGCTGCACTCCTCGAAGAACAAGTGCATCAGATGCTACGCGAGTGGAAAGCCGAGCTAAATGAGCCCTCCTCGGCTTCTTCTTTTCAGCAGCAGGTAGCATTTTGATCATATCAAATACATTTGTTTTGAGTGCATATGTGGAACTAGATATGTAACTAGAAGCGTCCTGTTACTGTATTAACATATTTGTGATTATTCGTTTATGTAATACATGAACTCATGAAATATGTGGTTATGCTTTTGCTTTAAAGGGTCGGGTTGTGAATTTTGGTGTTTATGGCGAATATAGGGTGGCAGTCTTGGTTCGTTTTCTTCAGACATTTGCCGGCTGTTGCAGCTATGTGAAGAGGAAGATGATGCCACTAGTCCATTAGCTGCACCGAAACCCGAGCCTAATGATCAAAACTTGCAAGTTGGAGAAAGTTTGGCCTTTCATGAGGTGGTTTTGCCCCCTTTATTTTTCTTTTTATTCATTCTTTTCTGAACTGTTAAATGGTATTTGCTTCTTTTTCTTTTTCAGTTTTTTGTTGTTTATCCATATAGCTACGTGCTTTGTTATTTTGCTTTGAATGAATAGTGAATCAGTTGTATATGAGCACTCAACTGGTGGTTGCCAACACAATATTTCAGGGATTTAGTGTGAATCAAGGGCAACAGGAACATGCCTTCCCGATGGCTGATCAGTGCAAAAGCTCCCCTTCCGGAGTTCGCAATGCTGTTAACAATTTGGAAGGGGCTAATCAATTGGACTATCATCAGTTTGAATTGCATCAAGACTTTGAGCAGAGTTTCTACCCTTGTTTTCATGGCACAGCTTTGAGGGGGGAGGACACATTGTCTCAGGCTTCTACTTATCTCCCGAGTATTTTCCCTCCGCCCTCTGCTTTCTTGGGCCCAAAGTGTGCACTTTGGGATTGCCCTAGGCCTGCTCAAGGGTTTGACTGGTGGCTAGACTACTGCAGTAGCTTTCATGCTGCTTTGGCATTGAATGAAGGACCACCAGGCATGGGGCCGGTCCTTAGACCTGGGGGCATCGGCCTGAAGGATGGCCTACTTTTTGCTGCTCTTAGTGCAAAGGCACAAGGAAAAGGTGTTGGTATCCCTGAGTGCGAGGGAGCTGCTACTGCAAAGTCTCCATGGAATGCACCTGGTAAGTGCATTTTAGCTGTTTTTATCTTTGTTTTGTTGTAAAATTTATTTAGAAGTCATGAGTGACTTTTGTTGGGAATTGTTTCTGATCAATTCCTTGTGATTCCAGAATTCTTTGATCTTTCGGTTCTTGAGGGTGAGATAATCCGGGAGTGGCTCTTTTTTGACAAGCCTCGAAGAGCTTTTGAGAGCGGTAACAGAAAGCAGAGGTCATTGCCAGATTACAATGGACGAGGTTGGCATGAGTCGAGGAAGCAAGTGATGAATGAGTTTGGAGGGCTGAAGAGGTCTTACTATATGGATCCTCAACCGCTGAACCATTTTGAGTGGCACCTTTATGAGTACGAGATCAACAAATGTGATGCTTGTGCCTTGTACAGATTGGAGCTGAAACTTGTTGACGGGAAGAAAAATTCCAAGTCCAAACTAACCAACGATTCAGTTGCTGATCTGCAGAAGCAGATGGGAAGGCTTTCTGCGGAGTTCCCCTCCGATAACAAGCGCACTGTCAAGGGCAGGGCCAAAGTTAATGCAAAGGTTAGTGTCGGAAATGTCTACTACGCTCCAAATCGAGGGGCAACAACAAATGGGACATTTGACTACGAGATAGGTGCACCTACGACTACCTTGTTGACAATGTCAACGGATATTACAGAACCTAACTGATACAAGTTTGATGGGCTCCAATAAGCTGCATGCCCATCCTTAGTTTCTGCTGCTTTTACAATAACCCTCCATTCATAATGCTGCTACTTTTTCAGATAATGTTTCTCTTTAGTAGATTTCAACAGGGATCAGAGAAACTTCGGTAGAACTACCTAACTAGGTTGAGATTTTATTTTTCAAGAGAAATTGAAGAGTAAAATAGATAGCGTCCGAGAGCCCTACACAAGTTTTTCTTGTTAGAGAGGGCTACCATCCTCACTGGTGCTTAAATGCAATTCAGAAAGAAAGAATGGGTCGTGTTAGGTTGATCTGTGGTTAGGAACGGGTTGGGACGGTATGGCCCCTCTGCCACCCCACGGGCAAAGCGCAAGAAACCAGTCAGGACAGTTTCCCGTGCGCATGGAATCATTGCGCGCCCGTGGGAGTCCATGCCTAGAATTCTACCAAAAAAACAAGCCATTATGCATCATACATGCATTGCATCACCAACGCAAAAAAGTTACGTAGAGATAGGTTCGCATCACGTCTTCATTGAAATGTTTAAAACTTGCTTGACAAGCATGGTTTGGAAATTATTTAGAACTACTACTGATTTTGGTCAGAGAAATAAAACTCCCACAGCAGCTGACACAGGGACAACCTATCTAGGCATCAGGTCCTCCTCCTAAGCATCACCATCATCTTCGACATTGTTAACCCGCTCGCATTCATCAATCCATTCGCTGTAGCTGCAAAGTTGCAACTTTTGACATGAATAAAAAGAGCCGCGGAGCTACAACTCTCACATACATGTGTGTGTGTGACCACGCGATTACCCTTTGGTGAATCGTGATAGACAGATTTCAGACCGAAAAGAGAAATGGCGAGAAATAATTTACTTACACGTCTATTGGTTCGGATAAAGCTGCAAACAAAGAGAAACCAGAGTTAGATGAAAACAATAAAAGAAATGCATAAACTTCTGAGAAATGACATTTTCGTAACAATCTAAGGGTTTAGGGTTCAAAAGCGGCCAAATATCATCCCGTTAAAATTCAACTCCAAGTCTCCGACGAAAGGGGATATACGTTTCAAATTAAGGGACCAAGTTTTACGCAGACCTGTGATGGTGGTGCTGAAGCTTTCTTGGCATATTCTACAAGAAGCTTCCCCAATCAAGTTCTTCATGTCACTGAAGCAAAGATAAACGATAAACGCGAGTTACAAGACCAAAAAGTATGCAGAACCTAACATTCAATAACAATCTCCTAGAACTAGCTCCGGGTATGAATTCCTCTGCAGAAGGTTAAGTAAGAGAACTCAAAAACCAGAACGAAATCAAACAACAGCACTCACATGCGGCATTCAACACTGGTGCCATGGCTGCAGAAGGGACAGCTGAAGACGGTATCAAGCTTGTCATTCCGCTTCTTAGGAGGCGGTTTTGCTGATGACTTCCTCTTCCCCATTGCTCAAAAAGTTTTCTGTAACATCAATGTCACACTCATCAATCATCATTAACGGTAGCAAATTAGTGCTTAAAACAGGAATGTTCCCGAATAGCGAATACCTTTTGTTCTGAATACAACAAGACGAATTTGGGATTCACAACCAAGCATCTCAGCATTGTACAATGGCAAAGCATAATCCCATTTGAAATATTAAACATAAGAAATAAAAAACATAAATTATGAACAAATACTTGGGTTCCACACTGAATTATATGTAGAACGGACAATTTAATGGTAAAGACATGCAGTGACGGGTGAGATTGTAATTAAGTAGAACATCTGGTTGTACAGCGATCTCGTTTGAAGGTGTTTTTAAAATGATTGAAAACGTTTTTGGCAAAAATGTTTTTTGAACCCAATCCTGAGTAATAGTCCAAGTGGATCTCAGAAAAATACTTTGCAAGAAGCACATATCTCGTGTTTTTTTTTTCCTTCAAAAACACTTAAAATTGCTTCTGAAACCCAAAATCAATTTCATAAAAAGTGCTTTCAATCATTTTGAAAGCACTTCCAAACGAGTCATAAGTCACTCACGAAATATGATGTCCCAAAATCATGAACAAATTTAACCCTAGATTACCAGATTTACGGTTCAGAAAAGGAAACAAGACGAAAAAATTCATACGATAATTTTCAAATTAAAGCTATTTTTCTAGTTTTCTTCATAGACGAACAAGAAGCTGATTGTTACGAATTGTAACTTTCTATGAATATATTACCCAAATTTATAGCATATGTAAGAAAACTACATTTTCCCTTTCTTCTTCGTTTTCTCGGGAACCAAACAGGTGTAATTTGTAAACACAAGAAATGAGCATCAATCGAATCCCAAAAAAATGATGAAATATAGAAGGGAATGCGAAATCTTACGGAAATCGATGAAGAAGGAGCCAACTTGGTAATTTACTCTCTGCAGGTTTTGGATTTATTGCAAAATATAGTGTTCTTCCCGACCCAACTGAGAAACGCTTTAAAATGTGTCAGGAGAAGGAAGCGGTTCCACCGTTCAAGCGGGAACCGAAACGATGCCGTTTGGTGTTCGCAGTTTGGGCCCAAAACCTGGCCAATTGGGTCATGTTTGTGTACAATGTTATCTTCACGTGTCAAACTTGTTATCTTAACATATTCTTAATAAACAATTCGATAATTATCGGATTCGTTAATGAGTTATATAATTATGTTAATTTAATAGATCATACAAAAAATTTCATATCTAATGTCTAGGTTTAGCAATTATATGTTTTCGAGTTCTTAATTGGTGATCTGATAATAATTAATGGATTGATCCAAAACCTATTACGCAAGAAATTGCTGGCTTAGTCCTAAGCAGTGGCCAATAACAGTTCAATTAAAGATTTTTTTTTTTTTGGACTAAACGATATTATCTACAGTAATGGAGGAAATAGGCTAAATCTCATAATGAAGTAGTAATATTGGGGTTTAAATTGGTTTTTGTCGAGAATTGAACCAAGTCATCTCACTTACAATTTACAAGTGAATAAGAGTAGCATTAAACTCGCAGTAGTAAGCGGCAATAAAGAAATTATAGTAAAAAAAATAAATAAATAAATAAAAAGCCACCACCCAACTTCAACCGCAACGTTCAAAAACCCTAAGCCCCTGTTCAGAGCTCGAACTCAGTAACTGATGGCGTCCATTCAATCTATCTTTCTCCACGCTCCTCTCTTTCCCCTGAGACCCCGCCACCTCTCCCCTATGACCCTCAAACCCCCTCGAAATGTCCATTTTACCCTTGCCCGCTCTTCCGATCGGAAAGCCGTCCCAGTCACAGAGCAGGAGGTCCTCCAAGCCGTGGCCGAGTCCGACGAGAAGGTCCTCCCCGGCGTGAGAACGTACGAGAACGACGCTGCTCGGCTCACTTTAGTCGGCGCTGTCGAATTCGAGCAGGCTCTGACGGCTGCTGCTGCCGACGGAGGACAAGCAGCCGACGAGCACATCAGCTCGGGGATGCCCGCTATGGTTGTGGAGACCTTATTCCCGGGTCATCCGGGCCCCCGCAGCACAGTTTCGACCAGACTGGTCAGTTCATTTTTATGTATCCATTAAAGCATGTAACTTTGTGCTAATTGTTCTGAATGTAGTTGTGAATTCGAACTAATTAATCATCAAGTGCAATTTGCTGAACTAATCAATTTCGATATTGTTCTTTGAGAGTTTGTTTTCGTAGTTTGAATTGGTTTTTGCTGGATTGGTGCTGTGAAGTTGACATTTTCATAATAGTTATGAATGTAGTCGAGATTTCGAAGCAACTAATCATTAAAATGCACTTTGCTGAACTAATTACTTTCGACATTGTTGGTCGAGAGTTTGTTGTTGTGTTTTTGAATTGGTTTTTGCTGGATTGGTGATGTGAAGTTGACATTTTCAACAGTTTCTGCCTGCTAGGAAAGTTAAAGAGAAAGCCAGCAAACTGAGAAGGTCCATCACCGATGATATGCTGTCAACCACTACGTCGAGAAACATTCTTTCGATGACATTTAGGCAAGTAGTGCTACACCTGCTGTGGAACTTTGAGCTGGTTGTCTTTAAATCGGGAACGGAAAGGGATATGGAGGATCTCGAGAACCCAAGAGAGGTTTGCCCTTGTTCTTTATTTGTAATGGTTCTGGTAAAAGAATTTGACATCTGCATCACTATCTTGTAAAATGTAATATCATAGTAATCTCTGTCCTGCAGGTGCCACATGATACTGATAGGTTCAGTTCTCTTATACATTTCGTATCAGCAGGTCCCTGCATCTTTCGCCCTTAGTTCATCGGATGAACGGATTATCTCTGTGCTTGCCGAAGTTGTGTGCAGCTCTGCTCTTGAAAGCACTGAAAAACAATTTCTTGAAGATTACGTAGGCAAAACTTCGAGTAATCTTCTCCGCTGGTTCCGAAAGCCTAAAAGGACTGTGTCAGAAGATTCCTCAGTTGTCATATACAAATTATTTGAAGATGAGATAGTTGAAAATGCTAAGAGTTTGCTGGACCTTTTTAATTCAACAAAGGGAAGTTTTAAGCCCGTAAAAACAAAATCAAAGAACTATTGGTGGACACCAACTGCACTCTCTAAATTGGAAAAGATTGGTGGTCCTGAGTTTAGTTCGTGGACTAGCGAGTATGTTCCTGCTTATAGGCTAGAAATTGATGCTAATCAACATGAGAATGTGAAATTTGAAGGTTGGAGAAAATCTGCAGAGAATAAATGTGAAGTTCTCTTGACACACTCCCAAATGGTACGTTTTTCTTTCCTGGTCGTTGGGCTTCTTGCCTTCAATGGTTCTTGCTGCAGTGTCTGTAAATTGGGTACTTTCAAGTTCCGACATGTTGGACATGTTGAAGTGTCCATGTAATGTCTTAGGTTTTAGGCTTTTAGCTTAAACCTATCTGAGATAGGATGATGATGTGCATGGTGGAGAAGGTTCAGTTTATCCTTTCCTTTCTTTCCAATATTATGTGTATTTGCTTCTTTACCATTTAAGTTTATGTAACTTAATACCAGTTCCAGTTGTGAACTATTGATTTATAGAATCAAGTCTGCTTTATGATTTTATTTTATAAAATTTGTAGGTTGGATTGGCGGACCTAATAGATATGTATTACGAAGATCCTTACACAATGCCAGATAAACAGCTATCATGTGGTGTTGTTGCCAATTCTGCTAATTTTTCTAATAAGAAGGTATTGCTGTGCATATGTTTTATTTCTCTTTGTTAAAGTTAACAGTTGGAGCCTGATCATGTATGTGAAGGGTTCTGCTAATAGTTGTAAAATTAGCGATGACATTTAGATCTTAGAAGGTAAATGGCTGTAGCATGTTTTCTGTTTCTATCAAGAAAAGTTACTGAAGTTTCAAGCTTGTGTTAGGTGGCATATACAAGTGATATGACACTAGTATGAGAATATCGGGGACTTAGACTAAGATAGGTGTAAGGAATTGTTGTAATGTGTGCTTTTACTTGCTTTCTTCCATGGGAGTTGTGGGATGGAATCATGCATTTTCAATTCTTTGGATATTCCTATTTGTTTAAGGATTTTTCATAAGTCTTAATCTATTTGTTATGGATGCTCTATGTTTCTTTTATACTTTTAGCACATATTGAAATCATGATAACTTGTAGAAGGGATGTTTTCTCAACCCAGATTGCAATATCTTCTGGTGTGTTTGGAACCCTTTGGTCAATTGAATTCAGATTGGATAATGAATTTTGAAATTGGTACAATGCTAACTGGTTCCATTTATTTCAGACAGGTTCTTTCTTGTTAAGAATGCTACCTATCACTGTTGCGAGTGGAATTTTTCTCATAACAATTAGTGCTCTTTGTCAACGTGGTTTTCCTTACCCAAATAAAGGTGGAAAGTACTCTAGAGAACACATTTCAATTCCATCATCTGAAGTTGGTAGTGCACTATACCAGTCGGTGGATGCTGTGAAGGTATGCGTGTACTGAGAGGGATAATATCTAGGATCTAGCCACCGTGTCAATCAAATTTTAAAATTTTGGATTATGAAGTAAACTTATCTATATTGTTATTTTGTGCACAATTTTCACTTGAGGCTTCTAAGTATGGGAGAATTAGAAGCATGTTGCATATATAGAAGTTTTTCCTAGAAGTGAACTTAATATTGGGCCGTGATTAAATGAAAAATAAAGATTTACCTTTTTGCCTCATCTTATTCTGCTTCTTAATTGTTCTGAGAAAACTGTGAATTTGGTATTTTATTTGGACAGTTGGAAGCATTTTGCATATCAGTTGTCAGAAAGATAAAGGATGCCCTGGGTTGGCCGGGTGAGATCATGATGGAAACAGATGTGGGTGCTTGGACTGGTAAAGTACCAAATTATTTGAGGATGGTAGGTGATGATTGTTCCAACAACGAAGCAATGTCAACTATTTCTTCTTCTGAGAAAATTGATGAAGACTTGAAAGCATCAGCACAAGATATTGCAAGTTATCAGGTAACTCATGTGTTAAGGTTTACTTTCTTCTGTGTTTTTTTCACCCGCCGTTCAACTTAGTTTTCATTCTCCTTCACAAACACACATTTCAAATATTTCTCGGATATTTATTTCATCTTTCATAGTGCACCCAGCCCCTCCTTTGTCTGTCTATTGGTAAAAAGTAGATCGCTTATTATGGTTAATTGTGGTTTGATATCGACAATCGATACTCTACACGTTGGTGTGCCATTAGTACCAAGGAGAATGTTGTTGGCTTAAATGCTCTATTATTGATTATCCTCGTTGTACCTTTTCTGGTGTTTTTAACATTTCTGCATGCTATTTGGGCAATATTTAGGTGGTTATGTCAACTGATGGTGAGATAGTCGGGTTCCAACCTTTAAGCAGTGTGGCTGTTAACCATTGGGCTGCCAATCCCTTGGCAAAAGAGTTATACAGGGGGCGAAAGCTTTCACCTGGTAAGTGCGAGCTGCTTTTGTAACCTGTTAATATCATGTTATGATAGCTGCCACTTGACTTGCCTATGGGATGTTCTCAAATAGGTTTAACTGAACCCGGTCTTAAGGTCCAGCGTCCGAACGAGGTCGCCCTCATAGAGTTGTTAATGTCAGTAAAACCAGATGGCTGCTTTGCTTTGGCCAGGCCAGTTCGATAATTGGTTACAACGACAAGAATGCACATCTTGGTGATGCCATCGGCACTTGGCACGCCATGTGGTTTTGTACCTGCGGTATGGAGTTTTAGGATTTACAGTCAAAGTTAGGTTACATTGCCAATCAATTTTCGTCTGGTTTTGTATTTTAGTTGCAATATAATTGCAAGATGTCAGGGGAAAAAAGAAAACAATTACTTTGGTAAGGCTCAATAAATAAAAAACCAGTTATACAAGAGAGAATTTGACGGGGCCAACTTTGCATTCCCTTTTAAGTTTGTAGACCAACTGTATTTTGAATTTCTTAGCAACTTTTGAACTTTGCTCTCAAAGTGTTTTGGGGCTCGTTTAAAAGAGTTTTTAAAATGACTAAAATGCTTTTAAAAAAAATGTTTATAGGTTCTGAAAGCACTTTGCAATAAGTACTAGTTATGTGCTTCTTCCAAAAGGCACTTTAAGTGCTTTTTCAGGATTTACTTGCATTTTTACAGATGATTGGTTTCAAAAACATTTTCACCAAAATGTTTTCAGTCATTTTAAAAGCACTTTCAAACGAGTTTTTAAACATTTTGTCTAGTTGTACACTGCTTGTTTGTTTTTAGGTTGCTACTTGCTTAATTGATATGTCGTCATTATTTGATTAGTATATTTTTATTACATTAAGAGATGTTTTATGCAGTATTCTAAAAATCAGTCTAGGCGGCCACCTAGACGTCGGGTGGTAAAATACTGCCAGCGAATTAGGCCAAGTCATCTAGTAAAATCAGCTAGGAGTTAGGCGCTCTCTAGGCGTTCTAGGTAGCCTAGGCGGCAATCCAGGCGATGGTTTTTTTGCCATCACATATTTTGTCTTCGCTCGTTACTTTTGTAGGCCGGACGTAGTCAAGCCAGCTAGATCAGCGTAGGATAACCTATTACACATAAACTCGAATTCTCTCTAACCTTATAGCTTACTAATATATTTTCTCTTCTACATCTACTGCTACTTTTTCTCTTCTTAGTTTTATGGGAGATGGCCAGCTATCATTTCTTCATTCAACCCCATAGTTCCCATTTGCCGACGTAAAATACAAAAGCAAGGAGACCGATACCTACCATCCCATGTTCTAATGTCCAAAGTCATCCTGTGTATTCACACTGCTTATACGACAAATGTCTATTTGTTAATACTGTTTGATGTAAATCCTCTTTTAAATAATGTATGGAAAAGTAAGTTTAGAGGGTGTTGGGTTACACAGGCGACTTTGAGGGGAGCAAAATATGTAAATCCTACATGGATCTTAAATTCAAACGGGCTCTTGGACATTTTGTCCAGTTATCCACTGCTTATTTGTTTGTGAGTTGCTGCCTACGTGATTGATATGTTGTCATTATCTGATTGATGTATTTTTATTATTTTTAAGAGATGTTTTCCGCAATGATGCACAACCATCATGTACCCCTGTAGTATGAAACGTGTATTACACTAGTTAAATTATCAAGTTAAGGACCTTTAAATTGAGAGGTTCAATTGTTTGATTTGTGAATTCTAAGCAATTACTCCCCTCCACCCCATATGCCATAGGTTTGGAAACAGTAATTATTTGACGATATTAATTGTTGTCAATACTTGATCAATACGTTATCAGTATTTGATTCATATGCCGTTAGTATATGACCCATATATTGTAATTATAATCCATATGTCATCATTATCAAATCGAATGTGTTGTCATAATCGAATCAGCATGTTGTTGGTATTTGAGTTTGAGCTTGTCTTTAATTTATCGGAAAATTACCTCTTTGAGTTTTTCACTCTTAAAACTGATTTATAAACTTGTTTGTTTATTCGAGCTTGTGTGTGCCATTAAATAATTATTCTTTAAATAATGAAAAAGTAGCTTTGGTATATGAACGGCAATGCATTAAGGAACAATGATATGGTATTTTATCAGCTGAGATTCTCTTCGAATCTTGTTGGTCAGTCCCTAAAATTAGGCTAGGATTGAATTTATTGGGTCTATAAATCTGTTAGGGTTTCAAAAAATAAGTCTCAATCGAAGATCAAGTGCAAGATTAGAAAACTGACATTTGCAGATCAGGAAAAGGTCACACCAAGAAAAAAGCTTGAAACAAAGAACAAAATAATAATCTGTTACTTCTATCTTAAAAGATCAAACTGCATATCTATATATATATATATGGAATATGTTGTGGTGGTGTTACAAATCTATTCAAATCATAACACGTCTAGTAATTTGTTTCTTTTACTTCAAGTTAGTAATCTAACATTCTTCTTAGGAATGAAGTTTCAAAGAACAAGATTAAGCATAAAACTCGATCAATCAAGATAATTATCGTAACGTGCGCAGTAAACGAATTGAGGAATTTTACTTCCTCCAAGGCCACCTAGAGAAAATCATTCAAGCAGTTTATGCAGCTTTTGTTCGAAACTGTCCAAATAAGAGTTACCAAGCCCTTTGCCGGAGAAAAATTCCCTCCATTTTGCATGGTTGCTCCTCACCTCCTCGGCTACCTCACTGCCATCCTCCATCACAGCTTCCACTGCCTTGGCAACACCCTCCTTCGTGAACAGCCCGTCTAAGTCTCCTTTCTCCACTTCCACTCCAACCTTCAGATCGCAGCCCATCATTCGTGCATTGATGATCTGATCCCCAACATTCGGCAGCAGCACCAATTGGCACTCATTCACTAGCGCCTCGGACAAGGACCCTGAGCCGCAATGGGTCACAAAGCACCCCACAGAGGGGTGCCTTAAGAACAATGGCTGCTGAACCCAACCCCCGTAAACAACGCCTCTTCCTCGTGTCCTCTCCTCAAACCCTTCCGGCAATGCTGACTCGATAGATTCAGCTCCCATAGGTGGCTTCAACGCTGCGAAGAAGGGCAAACCTGTGAGCTCAAAACCCAACAACAATTCTTGAAACTGATCAATTTTCAGATTGCATTCGCTTCCAAACGCGCAGTAAATCATGCTTTTGGCCTCGAACCCTTCAAGCCATTTTGCCCATTTCTCGTCCAACTCTGTAATTGAGGTCTCTGGCACCACCGACCCTGCGAGAATCACCGGCTTCTTATATTGGGTTTCGATATAATCGCTATAGGGCCCTTCCATCTCTCTACAAGTTTTGAAAGCAATAGCATCACACCTACTAAAAGAAAGAAATTGGCGTTGCATGAATGTCATCCCACGGCCGAATTCCTTCAACAAGACAGCTACAAGCCCACGAGCTTCGTGCGTTCGTAGGGTAATCGATGATGCAGGGAAAGATGGCGGAGGCAGCATAAGGTCAGCCGCCGTTGGCAGTTTCTCCGTCGGATTTCTTTCGGGGGTTGACAGGTACCCAATAGTTGCAGGACTAATTATGCAGTAATGTATGGACTTAATGCCCATATCAAGCTCATGTAACAACTCCGGCAGCCAATGCGTGAAGTCGAAGAAAACAAAATCGGGCTTGAGTTCCCTGAGGGTTTGTCCAACTGCAGGCCTGGTGAGGTCCATGGCGGTCATGAGGAGCGAGTGCAGGGGAAAGGGGACGTCAGTTGTGGTTTCAGTGCCCGGGGGAAGGCCGTCAACGTGAGGGACATGGATGGGGATGAAGGCAATGCGATCCGGGTAGAGATTAAAAGCCTGCAACTTTTGTAGGGTTTGGACGGGGACAAAGAAGGAGATTCTGTGGCCTCTCTCGGCTAATTTGTTGCAGGTGTGTAGGAATGCGATCAGGTGCCCCATTGCAAACCAAGGATACATGGCAACGTGAAGTTTCTTGTCCCCCATGTTTGCAGGCCGGATGTAGTCAAGCCTGCTAGATCAGCGTGGGGCAACCCTATACACAAAAGCTCGAATTCTCCTCTCACTAGATTAGATTATATTTAAATATCGCTCAAATCAAACAGAACAATTATATTTAAATATGGCTCAGATCAAACAGAACAATTATATTTAAATATGGCTCAGATCAAACAGAACAATCCTTGTACTTACCTGGTTCCATCGAAGAACCAAGGACCTGTCGCTACTTAACAGAAATCAGCTCATAAAGCTGCTGTAAGTTGTAACAAAAATAAGACCATTTTTTTTCTCTGTCAGGGTTGGAAATGAGTCTGGCATGCCTAAAGGAGAGGGTCAAGTACACAAAATCTTCGAATTTGTTGGATATTTAACCAACTGGTGGTTACAAGTAGATACTGATCACAAGAAAAGGTGACGAGTGAGACGTGGTCGTTTTGGTGATGCTAAATGTGATGTGCCTCTAGTTTCCTTTGGTTTGGCGGACGTTTAAGTGGTAGGTGGCTGGTCACTGTTCGATTAATTATTAGGCATTTAAAAATTAAGAAAGAATGCCTAGACTTGCTTAGGTGCACCACCTAGCCCAACTAGGTGCCTGCCTAGACCACCTAGGCACCCACCTAGGTCGCAACTCGACAGAAAATCAATAACTTTTATTTTGCATTTTTTTTCTTCAATAAAATGTAAGAAACTTGTTGAATACTTAGATGAACACTTATTATGCTTGTTCTCCATGTTTATCAATATGTTCTAATAACCTAAATGTCATTTTACTTTACAATTTATGTTTTCCTCACACAATTATATTTTTATAGGTATAAATAGACACTTATTTATATGATATAATAAATTTACTTAAATCGGCTTAATAAGCCTAGGCCCCCGCCATGACAACACATAAGCCTATACCCCAACTATGACCCCACCTAACTGCCGAGGCACTAGTCCCCAGTTATTGCCAAACTAGCGCAACGTCTTTTAAAACCTTGCTAATACAACAAATGGTTATTTGTTAATATTTTTTTGTATAAACCCTCTTTTCAATAATGTACGAAAAAGTAGGTGGAGTGGGTGTTGGATTACATAGGCGGCTTGAGGGGAGCAAAATGTTCAAATCCTACATGGGTCCTAAATTTAAAGAGGCCCCCAAAAAATTTTGCCATCTAAAATTTTTTATGCAATCCAAACGAGCTCTTGGACATTTTGTTTAGTTGTGCACTGCTTATTTATTTGTGAGTTGCTACTTGTTTGATGGATATGTTGTTGTTATCTTATCGATACATTTTTATTACTTTTGAAGATGTTTTTTGAAATGTTGAACAACCATCTTGTAGCCCATGTAGTATGCAGGGCCGTCTTTGAGATTTCAGAGGTCCTATGCGAAATTTATAAAAAGGCCCCTTCTTCAAATAGTATTAAAAAAAATAAAAATAAAAACAATGTATTGATGTTATAAAACAATCACTTAAATCAAAATAAACTTTAATACTCACTGATTGCAAGTTTACAAATGTCATTAATTATAAATAAAAAAGCTACAAACATAACATTCACTGATAATCAAAAGCAGTTCAATCTTAAACAACCAAAATGAAAAAAAAAAAAAAAACTTCAAAACTCTAACTTTAAAGTTCACTTGAATATATAACCTTATTATATAATAAAATTGGAAAACTATCGTTTTTAGGGTGATATTATTGACAATCAAAATATCTCATTGTACTCCAAATTTTTATATTGAGTGATGTTAGGGATACTAAATTTGTAGACAAAATTTTGTAAATTAAATAACATGGATTATTACTTAAGCATTGATAAACGTGATCATTTCCTATTGGTGACTCATCATTTAGTTCACAAATTTAGTCTCTCTAGCATTACCCTTTTATATTTAGAAAGGAAAAAAATTTACTCTTATAAGGAATGCACAATGAGATTTTAAAGTACTAAAAAACAATTTTCTAAATATATAACATGATTACATAACATTAGATGGCAAAAATTTTGGGGGCTCCTTCAAATTTGGGGCCATGTGCAACTGCACCTTTCGCTCCCCCTCAACGCCCCCTCTGACTAGTAGTATGGAACGTGCTTAAATTACAGATGGGGATTCTTTCTCCTCCCTTCCCTTCTCTCACAGTTTTTTCTTCTTCTTTCTTTCTCGACAAAGATGAAATCTTAAGTGTTCAAACAAAAGGGGAGAGAAGGGGAGAGGAAAAAAAGAGGTGAGAGAATACGTGTCCTAAAATTACACTAGTTAAATTATCAAGTTTAGGACCTTTAGATTGAGAGGTTCAATTGTTTGATTTGTGAATTCTAAGTTGTTTGGAACAGTAATTATATGACGATATTAATTGTTGCCAATATTTGATCTCTACGTTGTCATTATTTGATCAATATGTTGTAAGTTTGTATTCATAAACACAAAAATCTAGAATTTTCGTGGGGAAAAAAAAAACTTGGAATTTGGGTCCTCATATTCCCAACTTGTCATTTCCCAATTTCTATGAGTGAGAGTTTAAAAATAACAAATTATGTATTCAAATTTCATTGTTCTTTTAGATTAATCAAACAAAAAAATTCAAAAATTATAGAAAATAAAATTTCATTATTTCAATTTCCATCATGTTAGAATTCTTTAATAATCTTACATTTCTTCGTTCAAACAGAAAAGGTTTCAAAAAATGTAAGGCTCAATCCAAGACCAAGTGCGAGAGTAGAAAACTGACATTTGCATATCAGAAAAAGGTCACACCAAGAAAAAAAGCTTGAAGCAACTAACAAAATAATATTCTGTTACGTCTTTCAAAAAATAATATTGGAACGAAGTTTCAAAGAATAAGATTTATGCATAAAACTCAATCAATCAAGATAATTATCAAAGCGTGCGTGTGAGAAAACGAATTGTGGAATCCTACTTCCCCAAGGGCTACCTAGAGAAAATCATTCAAGCAGTTGATGCAGCTTTCGTTCAAAACTATTCAAATAAGAGTTCTCAAGCTCTTTGCCGCATAAAAATTCCCTCCATTTTGCATGGTTGCTCCTAACCTCCTCGGCTACCTCACCGCCATCCTCCATCACAGCTTCCACTGCCTTGGAAACACCCTCCTTTGTGAACAGCCCGTCTAAGTCGCCTTTCTCCACTTCCACTCCCACCTTCAGATCGCGGCTCATCACTCGTGCATTGATGATCTGATCACCCACATTCGGCAGCAGCACCAATTGGCACTCATTCACTAGCGCCTCGGACAAAGACCCTGAGCCGCAATGAGTCACAAAGCACCCCACAGAAGGGTGCCTTAAGAACAATGGCTGCTGAACCCAACCCCCGTAAACAACCCCTCTTTCTCGTGTCCTCTCCTCAAACCCTTCCGGCAATGCTGACTCGATCGATTCAGCTCCCATAGGCGGCTTCAGCGCCGCGAAAAAGGGCAAACCTGTGATCTCAAAACCCAACAACAATTCTTGAAACTGATCAATTTTCAGAATGCATTCGCTTCCAAATGCACAGTAAATCATGCTTTTTGCCTCGAACCCTTCAAGCCATTTTGACCATTTCTCGTCCAACTCTTTAGTTGGGGTCTCTGGCACCACCGGCCCTGCCAGAAGCACCGGCTTCCTCAATTGGGTTCCGATATAATCACAATAGGGCCCTTCTATCTCTCTACAAGTTTTGAAAGCAATAGCATCGCATCCACTAAAAGAACGAAATTGGCGTTGCATGAATGTCACCCCACGGCCGAATTCCTTCAACATGACAGCTACAAGCCCACGAGCTTCGTGCGTTCGTAGCGTAATTGATGACGCGGGGAAAGATGGCGGAGGCAGCATAAGGTCAGCCGCCGTTGGTTGTTTCTCCATCAGATTTCTTTCGGGGGTTGACAGGTACAGGACTGTTGCAGGACTAATTGTGCAGTAATGTATGGACTTAGTGCCCATATCAAGCTCATGTAACAACTCCGGCATCCATTGCGTGAAGTCGAAGAAAACAAAATTGGGCTTGAGTTCCCTGAGGGCTTGTCCAATTTCAGGCCGGGTGAGGTCCATGGTGGTCATGAGGAGCGAGTGAAGAGGGAAAGGAACGTCAGCTGTGGTTTCGGTGCCTGGGGGAAGGCCGGGAACATGGGGGACATTGATGGGGATGAAGGCAATGCGATCCGGGTAGAGATTAAAAGCCTCCAACTTTTGTAGGGTTTTGACGGGGATAAAGAAGGAGATTCTGTGACCTCTCTCAGCTAATTTGTTGGAGATGTGGAGGAATGAGGTCAGGTGCCCCATTGCAAACCAAGGATACATGGCAACGTGAAGTTTCTTGTCCCCCATGTTTGCAGGCCGGATGTAGTCAAGCTGGCTAGATCAGTGTGGGGCAACCCGAAGCTCAAATTCTCCTCTTGGTAGTTAAATTATAATATCAAAATATCGCTCAGATCAAACAAAACAATCCTTGTACTTACCTTGTTCATCGAAGAACCAAGGAGCTCTTGGTACTAATCAGAGATCAGCACAAATAGCTGCTGTAAGTTGTGACAAAAATAAGAAGGAAAAAAATTTGTTTACCTAACTCGGGGTTCGAAATGAGTACTGCATGCCTAAAGAGGAATGAGTCAAAGTACACAAAATCTGCGAATTTGTTGGATATTTAACCAACTGGTAGTCAGAAGTAGATATCGATCACGGCAAAAGAAGATGAGGGAGACGTGGTCGTTTTGGTGATGCTAAATGTGATGTGCTTCTAGTTTCCTTTGGTTTTTCTGGTTGGTGAATGGTGAATAGGTGAATTTAGGGGTGCAACTTGGATTGGGCCAATCCAAACCCATTCATATCTAACCTGACTTTAAACCCGAACAAGTGGGTTTATTTTTAATTATAACTCGTCCGAACTCAACCCAATTTCAACCCGTTCGTTGACTGAGTTGAGTTGAGTTGAGTTAGGTTGATCATTTGCCCGTTTATCCCCAACCCAACCCAACCCGACTAACCAATCACATATCAATTAATGCTAATACTACACCCAAGTGAGCCAAGTCCAAAAACCGCCACCCTTTCTAATATTTTTTTAATAAATTATCCTTTATAATTACTTAAACTTTTAGGTAATAAGAGGCTTTAATTAGTCAGCCTATATTCGTAGTCTCTAAATCCTAAAACTTTATAGTAGATTGATTTATGTAAAGTTAGCTAGCTTTGATGCTACTTGGCTTAATTTTTTTTATGAATTCTTGGAAACTAAAGTTGTTACAAGATTAACTTGAAAAAGTTGGACAACCCAAACCCAACCCAAGTAAACCCTAACCCAATTAAACCCGATCCCAA